TCTTCTACTTCTTTCGTTTTTGGCAATTTTTATGAAAGGCTCCAGACGGCAGAAATGCACTATAGGTCGCAGGACCGTCTTTCAACAGGCGGATTAATTCCAAATACACGGTAGTCACTTTTTTGTTCGATAATTTAGGTTGTTTACAGTTCTATAAATTGTCTACACCAAAACATGTTGTCAGCTCGTCACAGGTGCCCGAGGTGTGCGCCAGATGCAGATAAACTATCAGCCCACATGTTCCAAAGCACACACTGCGTCTTATCGCTTATATTCTGAACCAGATGAGAAAAAAAATAATAATAAACGACAGGTTTTAGAGATTTCTTACGAAGTATAAGATTATAATAAAAAAAATGTATATGGATTTTAGAAGGGAAAAACAACTGAACTCACATTTCACGATTGGATTGTTTATCGATTTTCGTAAAGCCTATGATTCTAACAAACGTGGCATATTTCTTTTAAAGCTTAATGCATATGGTATACAGGGAACTGCACATATACTTATCACGAACTATCTTACATCCCGCAGGGAATACAGAGTGTATAACAACACAAAATCACCTTCAGGTTTTATAAAATATGTCGTTCCGCAAGACTCAACACTGAGACTTTTGTTCTTTTTTTTTTAAATTTATAGTAATGACATACCTAACATTCCATTTACCGGTTTTATATGCGGACGATACAAATGCGTTCTTTTCGGGAGCCAAGCTTAACGAGTTAGAATTTTCAACGAATAAATATTTACCTGCATTCTCATTCCGGCTGACAGCAAACGGCTTGTCTCTAAATAAGAAAAAAAAGAACCTATATGATTTTTTTCTTAGTAAATCGGGTCATTACAAAGAACATCGAACTAACACCTGAAAACTCTGAACTTGAGCATGTAATAACCACAAATTCGTTCGAGTGTGGTTTAACGAGCACATGAACTTGACGCACCATATGTGAACGCGAGTCGAAATCTCTATAGATGAATAGACTTGCTTTGCTATGTAATACATATATTACCCGCTAAAGTATCAACTTAATTACGCTCTAATATATTCCAAGTTATATAACTGCTTTTTTGTCTGGGGTCAGATTACGAAAACAAATGTAACGCACACCCATATCTACAAAAAAAAACAAAAAAAAACATCTGTTTTCTTAATAACTAATTATGATTAGACATCCACATATTTCCCGTTTTCGAACAATATAAAATAAAGCGCTTTCACCAAGTATGCACATACAAACTTCCAATCTGAATTTCTCAGGAGTTTAAACTTCCGACACCAACTCATTCGGCTTGATCATCATTATATATCACACGCCATGACAAGTGTATACACACTTCCTGAAACCAGAACAAATATGCCCAAACAAACATTAGCATATCGGATACCAAACTATTTTAGCACTTGCAGCTACATTCACACACTCATCGTAAGTATAGGGCTTTCAGCAAGGCAAATGCAAACATATATTTTAAAAGAATTAAAAAGCTTCGATAAAAGAAAATGGAGATCGGCATAAAAATAAATGAAAAGTGAACTTATCTTTTACACTATTGTTATGCTAGTGCAATGCTGCTTTTCGTGGTTTTTTTTTATTTTTTATTTTGTTTTTTTGCAAAAACTTGTTTGTTCGTTTTAACATGCATACTGTACTTGATCGGAGCGTTTCTTTTTTTTTATTTTCCTGTTTTATAGCGGGGCTTTGTTGGACCATCGGGTATTTCGCCTTGATGCTGGAGACAATATATATTGCCTAAACAAACTTTAATTTAAAAAAAATGCTTCTGTACTCGTTTTCACCTAAAAAAAAGGGCGTTTTGCGCATTGTTCATACGCTGCGCAAAGTAGTTCTTTCAAGATTTGGTTGTCGGAGGAAGGAGCGACACTTTTTGGCATTTGAAACGTAAAAGTCTTGATAAGATAGCATATATCTAATCTAAAACGCACCTACGTATACCTTAATTGTCCACATAAAAAGGGAATAGTAGTAATGCTCCGCGAAAAGACGGGCTTTTTCTACTGCGGTTCTTGAGGCGAAAACGAGTATATAGTGGATGACTTTTCGCCGAAAAAGTAACGATAGACAACATGTGCCATCATGAAACTCGGCGAGCAACGTTAGATACGAAACTTTGGATCTGCCTTGATGTTTGGAACATTTGTAAGTTACCTCCTCCGATCGAAAATTCCCGAAATTTTAATTACGCCAGGTGTCGTTGTCGCTAAGGTCGCTGGATCCTGGGAAAGTAGCGCCATTGCCTTCCCTACCTGCTAGCCAGACACAAATGGATACTAACATACAGACGACCAAAACCTCGCAAGGCGATTGGCTAATCTGTCTGTACGTTGCCATGGAAATCGCCATTTGGTCCATTCAAATCTTCGAAGCTTCCAGAGGGTCGTTCTAAACCAGTCGCGCCAAGATCACCATGGATTATCATTGTACTGGAAGCGTTCCTCGCCAATATAAGCGTCTTTGGCACTGTGTATGCAATCAGCTTATCAATCATGCCCATCTCCGCGGATCTCTTACTATTATACGATTCTTTTTCCGTATTTTAAATCAGTAAACTTATTTTTAAGTACCTCCAAGCACCGACACAGCATGGTGTTGGTACGAAGATGTTCGCTTGTTTCGCCGGTGTGCGGATAGCAAAATCCCAGTATATACAAGAAACGTTTCCTTTAAAGTTACCCGTCACCAGCGAATGTAGATCGGCTCACCAAGAACGGAGGGGTCAAGGAGAAATCGCTCATTCCGTACGTATCAAGGTGGCGACCATACGGGGAGCTTGGCGCTATACTTTCCCGGGATGCAGTGACTTCAGTTGTCGCGACGTAGTGTCCCCAAGAGCGTCATCTCATAAAACAAATTAAAAGAAATATATAAGGAGGATTATGAAGCTTGCAAGCGTTTATGCCATCGTTGATTCCAGATATCCCAATACAATAATAATAGTTATAAAAAAACTGTACGAGGAGCTTTGTTCTCGGATACCCAGACAGAAATGGCATCACTATGAGACACGTCACGAACGCACCTTTTTGCGTGGGAAAAAAGAAAGACTCGTCAGCGCCTTTTTTTTCTTCTTTTTTTTTTTTCTGATTAGCGCCCGGAAAAACGAAGCTCCGTGCCTCGTGCCCAATGCGTCACGGCACATTGGGCATCGAAGGAGGCGTTGCTTTCGCACTCCTTACGTAGCAACAGAGTGTAGCGCGTTGTTGACGCAGAATGAGTTTGGGGCTATAGAAGTCCCCAAAACGTGTAACACGTAATTTCCTCGCCAAGATAAGTGGGAAAAAGTTGAAACGGTGTATATTAATTATACACCTATTCAATTTCTCCGCTAAATTTAGCGGAGAAACGCTCCCCGTTAAATTAGGGGCTTTTCCAATAACTTATAAGACAAAGAAGACGAGGGAACAGCCTGCGCTAAAACACGACACCCATTCTACCGACTCGTGGCACTTCTTTTTAAAGTTGGGCGGGGGGTATAATTTTCATGCAAGAACACATAGCAAACCTTGTATATACGAGTACGGAGGTGGTCTCCCGCTAAAACTCTTTCCGTGTACCGCACCAGCGTGTGTACAAAAATAAATAAAATAAAATAAAGATGCGGCATTTGATGTGGCACGTCGCAACCGCGGGGAAGCGCAGCAAAGCGGCGCTCCCAAACTCCTTATACAGCAGCGGCCCTTTTTAGACAACGCGTGTACGCACATCACGCGGCAAATAGCTATATAGCATCGCGCACCACCAACTCGGCACAGGTTTCCTCGTATTTTTAGCCGCCCCCTGGTGCACGACGACTCCCTTCGAAACGTTCGGGGCTTCTTCGTCGCGGCACTGCACGTCGGCTGGGCCGCACCACTTCGAATCAGGAACCGTCGGAGACTTCTGGACTCCAGGGCCCATATACGTGTGCGATCTGCTGCAGGCCGGCCACTGCGATCGCTTGGCTTTTTTTCCTCGTGCGATTACGTCACTATGACGTTTCGATGACGCGTCTGGTTCCCTTCGGCGGTCGATAGGCCCTTTTCCGAAATCGTTAAATGAAGCATAGATTATGCGCAGCCTCCATTAGTGGGTCTCATCACTTCCGGCGTGAAGCACGCGTGATTGGTTCCGAGTTTGCGCCGAACACTCAGCCCGAATGCTGACGAATGCGTTCGTGTCCAATGCTTGCTCACAACAGTTCATGACCAGCTAATGGCGGCCGCCGAAAAAAAAAAGGGGGTCCATTGGCTGCAATATGATTTCAGCCCCATTACTCCCGAGACTTTATGACCGCCTTCTGTTCCGCTTCTCGAGAGCAAGATTGAACGAAGGATCCACTGATAAGAGATATTCGTGTTCATGTTGGTCTACAAAAAGGAAGGCAGTGGATAGAAAAAAAAAAACTATACCCCATTGATTTTTTTTTTAGGGAGGGGGGGGGGGGGGTGTCACCAACACGCACAAACAAGCGGGTGCTCGCCCACACCGGGACTGCGCAGAGACCATACAAAGTGTGAAGCGTCTGCGCAGTGCCGACCGCAGCGCAGACGCTTATGGTGTCACCGCAAGGCAGTGACGCCATAAAGTTCAGTTGGAGTTTTTCATTCAAACAGACTTTCAGCTTTCTGCAACGCGTTCCGTCTGAAACTCGCGCGATCAATTGCTATAAGCACGACCAAGAAGAAGAAAAAATAAAAAAAACACGATCCGGTTTAGTCATCGCGTCTCGTAACAACGCGAGGGAGAGAAAGTGGCCGTGGGCGGGAGTTGTTGCCGCTCTCCGCGCCCGCTGGCAATAGAGTGACTCCATACAACCCGTGGCCCTTGGGGCAGTTGACAATACCGCGTAAAAGACAAGGCCCGGGCATGACGTCATCATCGGTGAACAACCAACTCGCCCCCCAAGCGGCAAAATAAGCTAACGTCGCGCTCGTTGCCGCTACTGATGACGTGTGAGGGAAACGGGCGCAGGCCTCTACGTAGGCGATATTGGCAGTGCGCCCAAGCGGCATTTGACGAAGGGGCGCCCCCATCGCAAAGGGAGAGGGCGCGACACCGGTGCTTTAAGTCCCTCGGCTAATGATGTTCACGACGAGTGTTTCGGTTCAGTGTGGAGCTTGTCGGAGTAGGGATATGCAGCACCTTCTCTGGATTGCCCTGCTCATCGCCGTCGCGCCGACCTCGGCGGGTAAGTTCACTCGCGCACATGTTTTGACCACATTTTTTTCTCGTCCGTTAAATGTAACCACGTGTTGGAAGTTAAATCGTATGCGGTGCTCAGCAACACCTTAATTGTTAGTTGTTGTTTTTTTTAGTAATTAAGGATTCATTATTAAAACTGTGAAAATGTATAATCTGACTAGTTTTTTCGTATAAAAAAATTCGATTGAATCGTGATGCCCGTAACTGTACAACCTTCTATTCGCGTTCTAAATTTAAATTGCGCGAAAGTTAAGTTCATTCGAATGACTATATACATATACGAGATGTGCCCAGAAAACATATCGTTCCCATCTTTTCATAGGTAACATTTTGGTAACGCGGGTACAAACTAAGGGAGAAGAGGAGGCGTGAAAACACCGAGTTCTGGTTAGAATGATTAGTGGGGACCCAGAGTCCGAACGAACACCGACCGCCTGCGTCCGATGTTCGCTTTAGAACAGCGAGTATAGAGACAACAGACCACTAACCATTCCGACCCGTCCCCGTATACCTCCTCCTCTTCCTACTCAGTTTCGCATCAACGTCCTTCGCAGCATCGTGCCCAGTACGGAATTAGAACGTTTCGCTGGTCAATCCCAATGTAATATATATATATATATATATATATATATATTGATGAAATTTTAATTTTCGAGATGGCACCAATATCGGTGCTACTTTTACACCTTCTGGGGTATGAAAAAATACACCCTTAGTTACACCCAAAAGGGTGCTACTTAGATCTGGGTTAATTTTTCGGTTGAAAACATATATAATGGTCCTTCTTTTCTATTTCTCGCTAATGTTACGCGAAATCGTGGCTCCGGTCGTAAATAAATAAACATGGCCCTATTGAAAATTTTCATTTGCATGAGAAATTTCTTGCGTCCAGAAAACACATATATGAGTCATACAAGATATATAAGAACCATATAAGACTATATAAGAACTATATGGGATATAGAGAACATACAAGCGCCTTATAAGTGACTTGTGAGAGGTTTCTTATATGGTTCTCATATATCTTATATAATTCTTATACAATTCTTATATATTTCTTCAATGGTTCTTTTATGTCCGTATATATCTTGTATGATTCATATGTGTTTATTGAACACAAGAAATTTCTCATACAAATGACTTTTTTTTTCACTAAAAAGCCTGATAAACTGTCACCAATGCCTCTTCGCTCCTAAAAAAAAGTTGAATACAAGATATTGCTTTTACTTGGTCTCAGTACGTATTACTCCGACGGCATATATATTTCCGAATCTAGGCGGCGCTTGAAATCAAAGTATAATGAATAAGCAGAATCATGCCCGAATAGAGAGAGAGAGAGAGAGAGAAACGGGTCTTTGAAGGGTGTTGCGAAGACTACTTGGGGTCCCTCGCAAGAATTTCGACCAGGAAGCGTAATATTTTGTAACGAGTCCTTTTTTTTTTCTGATTTGCGCGAGCGCGTCGACGTGAGAGGAAAATCGAAAGTAGGGGCGGCACTTTTTTTTTTTTTCATTCGAGAGTAAAACAAGTTATGTGGGACGCTGTCGCTCTGACGGAACATAAACACGAAGGGAGTCACCATCGCATGTTCGTCGTGTTGCGTCCGGCTGAACCGCGCTACCTTATTCAGGGCGAACCGCTATCTTATTCAAGAGCTATTAGTGATTTTCTTAAATTTTCAATGGAGAGATGGCGGCCGAGCTCGGACCAATACAACTTATTAAAATAGCGAATGTACGAGGTATAAAATAAGACAATCAAGGTTTTTTTTTTGGCTTAGCTGCAAAATTTGATTTTTTTTTCTTTCTCTATATTCTAGTCTTCGATGCGCACATTGGATATTGAATACGTTATATCCAACAGCTGTCAAGTCGCTCGTAAAACTTTGTATCCCTGCAGCTCGACGTCAGTGGACTGAGCGTCGAATTGTCGTGTTTTGGGGTGTTACATCATGGGACAAGGTTTGCACCCCCCCTATTTCTTAGGGTGTATAATATGTAAACGCGGCGTCGAACGGTGATTTCTTGCCGCATGTTCGTTGCCACGCGAAAAAAAATGCACAACAAAGTCAACCTGTACACTAATTCCTACAATTTCTCCCATGGTGCGTGCCTGTTTGCAAGCAAACAAAACAAAAAAGACGCCGTTTTTTTTTTTATTTAACGCGCACGCGCGCACACCTTGGCGAAGTGTTGGTAACACACCCCACGTTTTGGCACGTCCCCATTTCATTTCTAATTCCAACTTTTGGGTCAGACTGCTCAGCAACCACCGGACGAATTGACCTCGAAATGCTTTTACTAAGGAAAAAAAATGTATATATATTTTTAAGGCGCGTTCGCACATTTTCCGGTTTTGGGGCTAGACATTTTCTGGGCGCTTGAATTCCTTCAAACTGACCACTTTTTCAACCTGCCTTTCATGAGCACTTCTGAAGAACACAGAGGCACTAACACGTTTTCTGACAGGGCGTTACTCGAGGTAATTTTTTTCTTAAGGTATCTCCAACAAACTCTTTGTTCCATGTATTTCAAAAGAAAAAAAGGAGGATAAAGTTTTCACCGGCAGTGATAGCCTGGAAGTGGCCTTCCCCGAACGATGGTCTTATCTAGACCCTATTTCTCTATCCAAACTTTCAGGCTAAGAAGCCATATCGAGGGTCTGTCGCTGTCTCGAGAGCCATAATATAATTAAATAAAAAAGATGTAGACAAACAAAACAAAAAAACCTAGGTGGTTGAATACATATAATTAATTTTGAAATTCAATATTTAGCTAGTTATGACATTACAAAATAATTGAGAGCCAGAAAACTCGCAAGACACAAATCAAAGCGCCTGGAAACTTTGGCATGTTTACACAGAGCAAAACACTAATAAGAAGGATAGAATTGACGCTGAGCAATAGATACGACATGTAGAGCACAACATATATACAGGGCCGTACCCAGAAAAAAATTTCGGGGGGGGGGGGGGGGGGGGGGTTTCGGGGACAACGGCGGCCATTTTTAAAGTGTCTATTGTCTTATTTTCGCCTATGAATCGTGCATCGGTGGCATATAATGGAGAGTTAGAGCAAACCGGAGAACCGGTCCCGGTTTAGTACCCGGTAGCCGACCGGCGCCACTGCGCGTGCGCAGAGGTGGAGATTAAAATCGGCTGACTGCCAGTGCACCGACCAGGGCCGTACCCAGAAAAAAATTTCGGGGGGGGTCAGAACCCCCTAACCCCCCCCCCCCCCCCCCCCTGGTTACGGCCCTGCATATATATACATGCGAACGCGAAGGAATTTTACCATATACGTATCTGGCGGAAAGCTGGGCTTTTCAGCGACACCCAGAGATTTCATAACAAAAGGATCTATATTTTCATTTTTCTTTTTTGAATATCCTCGTTTCGTCAGTGACGTCTCTATCTTTGATATATGTTCACACAACTATATGTACTTTGGGTTTAAGAGCAAAGTGGAAGCTCCTCCCACCTCTTAATTCACTTTAGCAGAGCGAATGCTGCAGAGAAAACTGGTCTCCCCCCTCTCCGGGCGTTCACTCTGCCAAAGAGGAGAGAGGCGGGAGGAGCTTGCAACTTTGCTCTTAACTTATCACCGACTATAGAGGGATTACAAGATTTCAAATGCCACTATTCCTTCAACACGCTGGAATTTTTAAACCAATATGTCTCTGAAATTCCACTTTCAGTAAAAGGGTGTGCGGCATTTACTTCCCTTGTCCCATGATATAACACCGCCAAAACTACAATTCGACGTTCAGTCGACCAGACGCCCAACTCACAATACCAACATTTTACGAGTGACTTGAGAATCGAGTGATATACACCAATGGATAATCTACGCATTAGAGATTACAGAAAAAAAAACTCAAGGTTTTATTGGCCCTGTTGCAAAACCTCAGTGGGTGCTTGTGTTTGTTTTTTTTTTTCTTTCATGTAGTCCTTGATACGTTCATCGGCTATTTAGTCATTTATGGGACAAGGGGTGTAAGTACTACACCCCCTTATTTCTGAGAGTGCACTTGGAAATTACCCGAGTTCAATGTCTCGAAACTATAACCTCTTTCATACGGTAGATTTTGCTTTCCTGCTAATTTTCTAGCAGAATTATAAGAAAATACTTGTGTCTTAACGGTACGTTAAACAAAACAATCTTCTATCTAAGGAAACAAAAACAAATTAGTGCCAGATATGTTAAAAAGTCATAAGAGTAGAGCTACGTACGTTTCCAGAGGAATTGAATGTACGACAAGAGATATTTATGGCGTATGCAATGTTCGAGGCATGGGAACGGGACCTTGCAGCCACGGGATACTTGCGGGCTCATCCCAGAGAATCGCGGGTCGCTTGTTTCAGTCCCCTGAGCTAGATGAATACCAAGATATGTATAGGAGGAAACAGGATGCACACTGGAATGATTCATGTAGCTAGGAAGAACAGGTGTTATTTTGACGGGACACTCTCATAGATCAGCATTTAGAAATGTTAAGTTCCATGAGCCAATGTCCACATCAATGAGGGACATTATTTAATATCGCATTTTGAAAGAATGAACGTGTCATAATCGTTAATAATTTCCTGAGAAGTAACACAATCGCCAACATACAGGCTTATAAAAGAGGAAACAAACACTTGTAGGAAGGTCGCTAATATAACTAAGAAATAAGATTGGGCCGAGTACGGAACCTTGTGGGACACCGGTGACCGGAGCTAACGTGTGAGGGTGATGAACTGGTTCCGTTAACCTAAACAAATTGGGTGCGGTTTTGTTAAAAACGACCCTTTCCAAGCGAGTACATTATAGCTATGTACTATATCTACTGCAAATTACTTCCCTGTTATAAATAGCCGGGTGCACCTTTTCCATTCACCATTCGGAAGCCAGTGTGAAAAGTTTGGTTTATTCATTCAAAGGTTGTGGCGAAAAAAAAAAAGAACAATTTGCGACTAACCTCAATTTTATAAATGGGATCGGATTT